ACTAGGAACTCCTGTGTTTTCCAGGACATTGCCCTTGGTTTTCCCAGAAATTTCCCTCTTCCTTCCTAAGAAACCCCCCTATTGCTTCCCTGGAAATTTCCTGTTGCTTTGCAGGGTATTTTCCTCTTGCTGCTGCTGCTTTCTGGGAAATCCCTCCCTGGCTTCCTGGGAAATTTCCTGCTTGGTTCCTGGAGTCCTCCATGAGGAACTCCTGTGTTTTCCAGGACATTGCCCTTGGTTTTCCCAGAAATTTCCCTCTTCCTTCCTAAGAAACCCCCCTATTGCTTCCCTGGAAATTTCCTGTTGCTTTGCAGGGTATTTTCCTCTTGCTGCTGCTGCTTTCTGGGAAATCCCTCCCTGGCTTCCTGGGAAATTTCCTGCTTGGTTCCTGGAGTCCTCCATGGCTTTCTGTGAATTTCCTCTCTGCTGAGAGGACTTCTTAGAGGACTGCTTTCCTTGGCAAGGTGGCTTTTGGGGACCCTCCTGGTACATCACTGAAGAGCAAGGAAGGGGCACCTTCCAATAAGAATTAAAAAAAAAAAAAAAAGTCTTTCACTTTTAATCCACCCAAGGGAAATCCAGAGCAAGAGCAGCACCACAGCACTACACACAGCATGGACATCAACCACGGGCTTTGCACAGGCTCCTTCCCAGGGAACACGGAGAAGTCATTCAGAAAACAAGAAAAAAATAAACAAAATTATTCACAGCTGCAAAGGGACACGGAACAAACCAGCCACAGAACAACTTTTCCAAAGAGAAGAAGGACGCATCAGGGGAGAAGGCCTCAACATACAGGTCTTGCAAAAACCTCACCCAAGAACATGGAAACAGAGGTGGTTTTCTTTTAAACACTAAAAACAAGGATTTTTTTTTTTTCCTTTTTAAATTAATTTAAATATACATTTGAAACACAAACACCAAGCAGGCGCCTGGAGAACGAAGGGAGCAGAAGGAATGGAAGGTCACTCGATGGGTTGCCCCGGAGAGGAGCAGGCTGGGCTGGCAGGGGGCACTGGGCACAGAGCCCATGCCATGGCCCATGCCAGGGCCCACGGGAGCACGGCCCGAGCAGCTCCCCTGGCACACTGTGGTCCCTTCCCCGGGCGGGCTCCAGGCGTGGGCCTGTCCCTGCCACCCAGGGGCCACGCGGGACGTGGGCTTTGTGCCACCCAGGGACCTGGCCCTGTCACCACGCTCAGAGCCACGGCTCCTCGGCAGCGCGGCCGGGCCCAACCAACCCACCACACC